TAGTCAGACTTATTGGGGAATGATATATGCAAATATATTTCCTCAATAGACTGCTTGCAAACTATTCATTGTGTCTACTTATTCGCTATTTGTAACTTTCTATTTGGTCTGCATGATTCATTCTCCTAAGTGACATAATATTGCTTCTACTCTCTGACTGGATGATTCTCAGACCCATAAAGTGCTTTCACTATGATTTCATGAACACTTCTGGTGTCAGTAGTCATGGAAATACAGATGGGAAAGAAGGGATGGGATTTTTAAAAGTGCTCAATGGTGGCCTAACTTTGTTCCTATTTAAATAAATGGAACATTTCCACTAACTTAAAAGAGAATAAAATTAAGCCAATGCTGAGCACATTTGAAAAGTCCTTGCCCCATAATGTTTTGGTCCAGGAATTCTACTCAATATACAAAGACTCTCAGGGTACGCCCAGACTACCCGCCATATCGGCGGGTAGCGATCGATTTATTGGGGATCGATATAGCGCGTCTCGTTAAGACGCGCTATATCGATCCCCGAACGCGCTCCCCGTCGACTCCGAAACTGCACCGGAGCGAGTGGCAGTAGCGGAGTCGACAGGGGAGCCACGGCCGTTGATCCCACGCCATGAGGACCCAAGGTAAATCAATCTAAGATACTTCGACCTCAGCTACGCTATTCACGTAGCTGAAGTTGCGTATCTTAGATCGATTCCCCTCCCTAGTGTAGACCAGCCCTCAGAAGCAGTACCTACAGTATAGTGCTTATTTAGGGAACAGTAATATATTTCTTTACAAACATAAAATATAAATATGAAATAATGGAAAGAAATAACTTTGGGTCAGAAATTCCAGCTTCATACTATACTTTCCTCTATTTCCGCAAACCAATGAAGGCTGGTGACTTCTGAAAGTAGACAGGGAAATCTGACATATCCCCTCTAAGCAGTCTGGGAAGATGCCCACTCCAAAAAAGATATTGGCAATTTTTGATTCTTCACTAGCTCTTTATTTTTAAGAGTTATGCTTCCTATAGGAAATAGACTTCCTCTCTGTGTATTTCTCTCTTCTCCAGACTTTCAATAGTTTGGTCCCCATAGGCAGAGAAATGAGCGTAGAAAGGCTAGTCACCTCTAGTGAAAACCAATTAAGATGTAAAGTGGTACAAACATTTTTACTGTACAGTCAAGACATTTGACGGTCTTCTGAAATTAAGCAGGAAATCAAAATGTTGAGGGTGCAAAATTGTCTAATTTGGAGTCTAATTTTCAGAAAAATATTTTCTCATTTTTGTATGAATCTTTTCTTCCAATATCTTCATTAATTACATATCAGATATTCAAAGTAATTAACTATCTGGGTTTTCCCAGCATCCAACTGTGGGAAATATCAGAGCTCCAAATGAGACAATGCTGCAATTTCCCCCCTACTGACAATAAAATCTTATAGACAATTTACACTGCCATCTACTGGTACAAATCTTTATATATTTACCATCACCTCACACATTTACTTTGTTCAAAGGCTTGCTTATTATATATTATATTGTACAATGTCGCTTTATAAGAGATACTCCTTGAAAGAATTGTTGGCGAGTCATGTGAAATATTGAAAAACAATTATGGTTAGAAGAAATTCTCCTTCTAAAAAAATCACATATTTTCTGTTGAAAATAGGTATTTGGACAGAAAGTTGTGTGAAAAAGAAGTGTTTTCACAGGATTCTTAGAAATCAAACATTTTAGAACTTTTACAGGTAGAAACCGCCCCTGGACTCTTTCCTACCAAGTTAGAAAACAAACCAGAAAAGAATAGTGAGCAGAAAAATATACAATGGAATCTTCTGCTTTCCACATCCCAATTTGATAGAAAAAATATCATTGCAATCCCATTCCAATTTAGGGTTTGTTTTCAGTTTTCATGGTCTTCTTCTTTTAGCCATGGAGATGAATCTTGTGTTGATGGATATAAAACAGGCTAAATATCTTTGAAAGTGCTGCATTTGAGCTAGTGCTTGATCTTGGTTATATCTGTTTGTAGTAGGCAAAATCTAAGTGACCATCAGCCAGCGAGCTTTCCCACTGTTAGCTGGAACAATTATACCATATCCAACATAATCATTGATGACAATCAGCCATATTGGGTGTCCTTGGATCCGTGCCATCATTAAGGCCAGCGGTCTAACTGGAATGAAATTTCACAGCAACTCTCAGCAAAGCCTCTGGCTTAAAGGAAGCCCAAGGCTTAAGCTGCTGCTAGGAAATGCAGTGTGAGTATGTGCTAGTTTGACACCATTCAGCTGGACACCTCACTAGCCCACCCTGGGGTTTAGTGCTTTTTAATATCTTTTGAGACTGTACCACCGAAAGACCCCAGCCCTTTGATATATTTTGTCTTGTATAAGATGAGGCAGTGCTTTTGTGGAACAGACTCCTTTCAGACGGCTAAAGGATTTTCAGCATTTAAAAAAAAATCACCTATTATGGAACAGCAGTGTTTCAACCATTTACAAATCAAAGACCAGATTAATGACCTTTACGAAAAGCATGATGTATGCTTCCCCAGGCTTTTCCTATGGTAGCAGGGGAGCAACAAGTTGGATCTTGTGGGAACTTTGTGGAGGCCATGAAGGAGTCACTAATGGAGATTGTAACAGGGCCTGTGCTGAGAAGCAAAGAAAGTTTGTTTTTTTTTGGAGGTCTGCGTAAGATTTATCACATTATCCCTCCACCCACTCCTAAGTACTATCCTAACCCACATGTGCCTCTCCCCAATTAGTCTCACCCTAATTTTATGGGTTTCCCCATCCATGTGACTGGGTAAAATCCTTCCTTTTGCCCTCCCCCGACCTATCACCTACATAATGTTCTCATTTCAATGGGAATGGATGGTCACTATACCCCCTCAACCCCTGTTTCACTGAGGTCAGAGGTGGTGGGTAAAACAGAATTCAAATACTTCAGCTCAGAAACCCATAAACCAGTTGTGAAGGAACCAGCAAGGAAAGAAACAGGAGAAAAAGAAATAAATCAGGAAACAATTCACGACAATCACACAGCAGATTTACTGCCCTTAGGTATACTTGGATTTCAAAAAGCAAGATGGCATAGCGCAAATAGTCCATCCCCATTCAGAAAATTCTCCACGTAAGATTTATTTTAAAAGATACAACAACAAAATAATACCCGCATTTCCCAACAAATTCAGTGTGAAGTACTAACCCTGGGACTGAAAAGTTCTCACTTGTCATAAGTGCAACCCCCTGGGCCTGTAATCAGTGTTTCCTCTAAGCTGCGCACCTGCGCAACAGTCCATCAAGTGCTGCGCACTTGACTATTACAGCCGCGCGGGGCCAGGTGGGGGCCCAGGGAGGCCCGCCAAAGAGGGCGCCCTGTGCAGGGTTTGCCTCAGTCCCCCTGACCTGCTGAGAGCCAGTTGGGCTGACGGAGGACCAGCCGAGCCAGGTGACTTCTCCGGAGCAGGGGTGCCCCTCCTCCCCCTGCTGTGTGCAGCCGCCGCTGCTCTTGTTTCTCCCCCACGCACCCGTTCCTCCCCCGGAGCCGCTCTAGGCCACACTGCTCCAGACTGGGAGCATCCTCCTGTGTGCTGTGTGGGGGGTGAGGGGAAGGCTGATGTGGGGTGTCCCCTTCCCCCCGCCTGTGTATGCAGTCGCCACTGAGCTGGGGTGACATGACAGGGGGAATCTAGCTGTGCTACTGCCTCTCTGGGTCCAGAGCTGTTGGCAGCTGCTTGTGTCTGAAAAAGCTTTCAGGCTCCTGACCCGAGTGCTTTCTTAAAGAGACAGCATGCTCATATACTCACTCAGGTGCACAGACACTCCCCTCAACACACACACACTCACTCTGTTACACACTCCCCTCAACACACACACACTCTTTCTCTCTCTCTCTCTCTCTCTCTCTCTCTCTCTCT